ATCTTTGCAGAGAGAGTAAAATAAGTCTAGTTCAGGCTGACAATTTATCTAACCGCGTTTGCATCACTTGCGGTTTCAAACGTTGAACAACTTAAGGTTAGCCCAGCGAGACGTTCGTTGAGACACAGGCAGTGAATCAGCTAGTATAAGGCCACTATTTGTTGCATATTAGTTTCTCATCCGGAGCTTCACCTAAAGTTGATGCGGGCGGGCGGGCCATTACCATTATGCCATTATTTGCCGGATTTCCCCTCTCCGTAAATTTACTTTGGAAAAGTGCGCATTTACCATTTATAGCATTGGAAAACAGCACAAAATTAGTGAGTGCAACTGAAACCATGTTTTCATATTAAAAACATGGCCGCTCCACATGACCACATGTGAAATAATTCGTACAGAGTAGAGAAATAATTTTGTAGCCAAGTCGTCTCGCGTTTTTTTCCCTGGGCCCCTGGCTTGATCCGGTAGAACGTTTACGTAAATGCGAGAGAAACTGGCAGTTTTGGTATGAAATTTCGTATCTTAACTAAAACGTTCGGTTTGGGAACGTTTCTAATTGTCTTTCTTTCAAATATCATTTTGAAGACATCACAAAATTTATAATAATGGTCAAAAATGGCAATAATGGCGAACATGATCATTTTCTTAAAAAGCATGCGGGCGGGGATGAGAAACTAATATACAACAAATAGTGGCCTAAAGCAGTTGATTGTCAAATGGCTCCGAACATTTCTCCCAAATACTTCCCTGTCAACCCAAGGCTTTCTGCCTAAACAATCTGGTCTTGAATAAGTCAAGACAATGGGCAAATTATTAAAACAGACGCCGTCGAGGAAAGTCGTTCTTAGAACACCTGGCCAATTTGAATTTACCCCTGGAAATTTTGCAATAGTCGTTTGCGTGTTTTTTGACCGAAGTCCGCTCTCTCTTTGAGACTTTATTTTTGGGAGTCTCAACTAGTGACATATATTATTACAACAAGAGCTTTTTACAAAAAAATGTAGTTATTAAACACGGCAGAATCGATGCCACGGCCACGGGTTTTCAAATTGTCTATTGTCTATTGAGTTAATTGTATTATCATTGAGCAAATGACAGACTTCACGCAATAATGATTAATGTTGTTTTTAGCCTGCTATTGTTCGACACTTTTAATAAATAGTGTTTGTTACTTTGTTCAAAACCTAAAACGTTTCCTTAAATCTTACAGTTATATTTTGGATATAAATATATAAAATACATTAACTAATAGAGAGTAAAATTTTACGTCTCTGTAGTATAGTTACATAATTTAAAACGGCAATGTACGAACAAGACAGCAATATACAAACGGGACTATGTTTTAAATATTAGAACACTTTAGGGGAAAAACGACCATGAATTATTTTAGATTAAAGTTTAGACCTTGGAATCCTAGTGAAAGACACAGGCGTAAAATTGCGCGAGAAACTGTTTGTTGTTGTTAATAACCTCTGGTAATCTAATTAACAAAACTTGCTTTGATTGGCTACTATTTACCGGATATTCAATTATCTCAAAGGGGGCGTATTGAAAAAATATCAATAAAAGTCGCAGGATAGAGCCTGTGAGCAGGCTAATATAAACCAAGCCCGTTTAGCCGTTTAGCTGCCTTAAAACGGTGGTTTAATAAGCTCAAAATACAAAGCATGCAAGTCTATACTATAGATTCATCATCAGTCAACAACCAAACTAAAAGTATTGAACCTTATAGAACGATAGTTTTTATTTGTTTACAACTATACATATTCAACGGGTATATAAGACATATAAGAGTTTAATTAACTGTTATTTGATAATTACTGCATCAACCGGCCCCTTGTTTATACTTTGGAGGTTCGTATATAATATCTATCAAGTATCTTTGGTTCAGAACATGACTGATAGGCCTATATGGAAATCCCATGCACTGTTCGATTCAGTGAAGAAATATCTCCTAATTTCTATCGATAGTTTTAGTAAAATGTCAACATTAGTGCGATTTATGGCCTTTGAAAGTCAAGCGAAATAGTATATTATCAAATTAATACGCATGTAATTGTCTGAACGAAAATATAGACTAGCCCATACCTTTCGCCGATCATAACTTCGGCCCCTTCGGACGTATCTTCTTTGTTAAATATTCTTGTTCGAATCTCTATCAATAACACTATTTAGAGTGTTATTTTTCATCTTGTATCTTTTAATTTGCTTCTTTTATTATGTTATTCCATTTCTGGTCTGACTTGACGTGAACTAATTTCAAAACGCAGAGTTTCAAAACGTCAAAACATTTGGTTAATGATTAACATTTAACCGAATTTAGCCGTTGATTGACAACTACATAAAAATACTAACCAATCTGTTTTTCCCGTTCACCAGCGGACGGGTAATTCAAAAACCCCTAGTTTTGCGGCAGACGGTATTTCCTTTGCTTCCCTAATTTTCGCTGCCCGTAGAAATACCGCCTGCCATGCAGGCTAGAATTCAAAACTTAAAATTTACTTATGCAAAATTCCTGCTGTGATCACAGAAAATTTCATTAGTGTAAACCAGGCTTCAGACAAGCTAGGTCAGCATCGGCAGCATCCGAAATATCGACATCCGAAACTCTGGTCGTCCAATTGGAACTATACTAGAAACAACTGATCATCAGGAACAGTTTTCAGAAAACATGCATTCGTTGTGTTATACATTTCGCTAGTCTGTATACTTAAAACTATTAAAGTTAAAATTTTGATATTTACTAACTTATAGTATTGTGTTGTAGTAATTAAGAATTCATAATATGCACCACTATTGCAAATATCAGTCGGAGAAGGTGCGAAAGAAATTTAATTCTCCCCGTATTCCTAGGAACCACTGATCTAGTGGTAGTATAGGGACTCACCCGAACGGAAAATGTAATTCTTCGAAGCCCTTCGAAAACTGATACGAGCAATACTGGTTGGTGAATCCTCATCCTGTGGAAAGTTCTTTGCCTTCCCACCCTTTTACTCTCATCAGAATACCACAGCATGCACTCCATCAGATGATAAAGAGAGCATGCGCTATAGAAACGTTGGTAGCAGACCGCTGCTAGCTGCGGATCTGCACCAGTATACTTCACCGGCTCAAACATCAGTTTCCTCGGCAAGTCGAGCTATATGTCTTTAATTTGGGTGATAATTTTACCAAACGAGGTGTTTTGCAGAATTTGTTAGCCCTTATAATCCTTTTCGCGATACTGTGTTAAGTCCAAGTTGTTATGATCATAAACCATTACTTGTGGAATATAATTAATTTTTTTCTGATATGAACGAAAAATAACATAACTAAATTTATCTATATTTAGTGTTAGTTTGTTAGCTTCCAATTATATAATACTGGTTTGTTTACCAAAAAACCCTCAAAAACTGTTAAGCTATTTACAAGGCAAGTATAAACCAGTGGTAGGCGAGGACACCTCAAGAGATCAAAGCTGGTGTCAGGAAGCCATCCCATCTTGCAATTTAAAGTCCAGGTCAGTAGGAAATCAATATGATTTTAAGCTGAATATTATTAATATATTTATATTGTTTGCTTAAATTTTTTGGCTTATCATTCACGATTCGTTCGTGAATATCATTTGCAAATAGATAATATTTTAGTCGAGTACATACGCCCAGATAAGAATTGTGCACAACTAGTCGTATTCTGTAGTACTAGTAAATTACTCTAGGTTGACAGTGCAAATCGTTAAAAACAGTTGACACCTCTCTAATATATATGGACACTTTGATCTGTCCTGTCGTCATCCGTATATTATAGGGAGGTTCAGATTTGACTTCCGATCCACTACCTCTCACTGCATGGCTTAGAACGCATCTGATTGGTTAATCGGCAGGGACGTAGCGAAGCATCTGAAGTTGGGAGGGAAGGTCGGAGGATTTTACCTTAAATTTGAAATTAATGCTAAAAATGTACCTGAAATGCATTAATTATAATAGAGAATTTTTCCATTGATTTCCACTGTCGGATTAAGTTTCTGAAGAAGAAGGGGGTCTAGTGGTTATCCCCCAGAAAACTTTTACATTTTTCAAGCCCCAGGACTGCTTTTCTGACGTTTTCTAAAGCAAATTCGGAAACGAATTGGATCTAAATTGACTGTATTTTACAAAAATTTATTTCACAAAAATAACGACTTTATTACGCAAATTCTACCTGACAATCTCAAAATTTTAACTTGAATTTTACCTGATTTTTACCTGAGATTCGCAGTAGGGGGGATTTACCCCCCCCCGGTCCCTGTTAATCGATATCCAGCGCATTTGATTGGTTAATGGTCGCTTAATTGTAGCGGTAGTGGAAGTCATATTTGAACCTCTCTATCATAGAAATTCGATTGTACAAGTGTTAACCTAACTTCGACAAACATCACAGAAAACGTCTAAGGTCGATAATTTATTTTTGGAGGGTTTTTGTAGATGGACATTTCGAGTGTAAATTTTATACCTTTTAGAAGTAATCAGGAGTAGGAGCGAGAAATGGAACTATGGGCCCGTTGGCAGGAATCGAACCGGGGCAGTACAGTAATTGTACTCTAATCAACGGAGCTACAGAGTACAGTTGTCCACCTTTAACCGTAAAGCATGTAGAGCGCTACGACGGAATCGCAGGACCACAGGTTCAATCCCTGCGATAAGGTCTGTAGTTGAATTTTCACAGATGCTCTTCGTTAGGTCAAAAATGTATAAAATGCCCACTCGAGATGTAATATTTCAAATCTGACTATAAGGACTGGACTACATTTCAAGTCCGCGCAATTTGATCAAGTTCAAAGACTGGATCAAAATGCGCGGACTTGAAATGTAGTCCAGTCCGAATTGGAGGATTTGAAATGATATCATCACAGGTACCCAGTATTATCATGTGAACAAAATAAAGCAATATGGTTGGCAAAATTATTAATGAATTTGAGATTTTCATTTACAAAACCCAAATATCCCCTTATTTTTTTAGATTGTTATTGAAGTTTATTACTCCACGACGACGAGATTCAATATCACACACTTTCTCTCTCTCTCGTTATGCTGGTCTCTGTGGTCAGAAGCGTAGCATTTAAACATGAATCATCATGCATGCGATGTTGGCTATCTGCCGCAAGAATATCTCCACCCTGTTGACAGGTGATATCACCCCTCGTTTACACAAAGAATTGCGTTGCGACCCTGATCAAATCAGACACAGGCATTGATGAGCGAAAACATATATAGTTTGACAGTTTGACTTTCAAACAAACAGGAAAACCCCCCTAAAAGAAACAAATTCTTTAACAAGCTGAACATATTTGAATAAGAATTTAGGGTAATGCAGGGCAAAATGAGACACCTAAGGACATTTATTGTTGTAGAATGGAAGGCATAGCAATTTGAATTTTCTTTTTGACTTGGGTATGTGAGGTTGACTCACAGCAAGATATGTAAAGCAAAAAAAAATGTTTGAAATTATTTATTTGTGATAAATCGGGGAAAACCTAACAGTGGTAATTGTCTCATTTTGCCCCGGCACAATGGGGCAAAATGAGACAGAGCTAAAAAATTAAAAATAAAGTCAATATAATATATACTTATTTTAATAGAACTTCAGAATTAATTATAAAATACATGTTTCAAATCATTTTGAAGTTCAATGTCACACACACAGGTCACACTGGCTGCGGTAACAGTACAGCATTCTTCGTGACACCATTGTTTGCATTGTGAACAAGTCATCCAATCCTCGCCAGGCATTGACTTTGACCAAAGTTCACCGCAAAGTGATAAATTTTTTAGCCTACCATTGACTCGGCGATTTAATACATCCTTTGGTACCCTGTAGGCAGTTGCAGCTTTCGTATTGACAGTTCTTTCTTCTCAACTGCAGAGATGGCAAGATGGATTTAATCCTTATTCCAGTTTGCACGTTGAGTTTTGTGTATGTATGTATGTATGTATGTAAACTTTATTTAAAGACGTTAGCCTCGTCAACGATTTGTTGATTTTCACGAGGGACGTCTGTTACTATTAAAAATTACAAATATGATATAGAAAAGAATAAAGAATTATATACAACTATTTACAATACAAGAATTAAGTTCCAAACGGTGTGACCCATATTTCTAAAGCATGCATATACAGTATATTAGAAGATGTTAGCGTGAAACTTTCAGGCAGTTTTTAAAAGAATAAATTGATTGCGCTAGCTTCGCATCAGAAGGAAGACTATTCCACAATTTAGCTCCGCTATACTTAAAGCTTTTTTTTAGAAATTCTCGTTTTGGCTTAGCAAGGGTAAGGTCAGTATAAGTATTGCGAAGATTATAACTGGTTTGAACAAGGTCCCTTCTCGTTAGAGCATCCTTCAAGTTCGGCCCAGCGCAATCATTTAGGACTTTATACATTAATGTGGATTTAGTTGTACGTTGTCTTATCTCTAAATTTTCCCAAGCAAGGGATCGAAGAACATCAGCAGACCTTATTTCATAGCTGGCGCCGGTTATAATTCTCGCTGCACGGTTTTGGAACTTTTGAAGCTTATCTTTCAGCTGTTGGTTACAGACGTCCCATAATGGACTACAATAATCAAAATACGGTTCTATCAAAGCTCTGTAAATGGTATGCAGGGTATTTATAGGAACATATGGCTTAATTCGTTGCATTGCTCCTATGCCGGCCCCAACTTTCTTACAAATCATTTCAACATGCTCATGCCAATTAAGGTTTTCATCAAGTTTAACCCCAAGGCATGTGTATGAATGAGCAAGAGTTATGAATTGGTTATTCATCATTACTGGAATATCATAAGTCATAGTATCAGTATTATACTTTGAACCGATATACATTAATTTGGTCTTAGTTGGGTGGTGTTGCAGTTTATTTCGAGCAAGCCACTCACCGACTTTTTTCAGGTCATTATTTAGATTTTCAGTAAGTTCCTCAATAGTTTTAGCAGAAGTAGAAATTTGAGTATCATCAGCGTATAGGTGTGGCGAAGTTTTTTCGAGGCATTCGGGTAAATCATTAATATATAATAAAAACAGCAAGGGACCAAGAATTGATCCCTGCGGAACTCCGCACACAATCGTTTTAGGTGATGACATTGCACCGTTGACAATGCATGCTTGCTCTCTATTAGTTAGATAGGACTTAAACCAATCCAGTTCCACATTTTTTATTCCAAATTGATCATTCATCTTTTGCAATAAGATTGTATGATCAATAGAATCAAAAGCTTTTCTAATATCAAGGAAAACAACACCACTCAACTGACCATTATCCATGTTCTCATAAAGTGTGTCACACATTTGAATGAGTGTTGTTAAAGTTGAATGCTTAGGCCGAAAGCCAGATTGATGTTTAGATAGCAGCGAATTATCATTCAAAAACTTATAAATCTGGTTGAAAACCGATCTCTCTAGTATTTTACTGACAATAGGCAATATAGATATCGGTCGGTAATTTTCACATCTTTGTCTATCATCAGATTTAAAAATTGGCATTACCCACGCCTTTTTCCATTCATCAACATATATCCCAGTTTTGATTGAAAGATTATAAATCCATGTTAATGAAGGACCAATAACTTCCGCGGACAATTTAAGAGCTATAGCAGGGATGTTATCAATACCGGTAGACTTTGAAATTTTAAGATTACGTAATTGACAAATAATATCATCCATACTAATTTCAGAAAACTTAAAATTTATATTAGAGCAATAGTTAGAGTGGTAATTTTCATCATCTGAAAAGTTCGTACATGGAGAATCGTTCTCAATTTCATTAGCCAAATTTACCCCGATGTTAACAAAGAAGTCATTAAACGCCTCAGCTTTCAAAGTATCATCTGAAATCACAACATCATCACATTTAAGTTGAGAGATATTATTTGATTTTTTGTTTTTACCTAAGAGAATATTAATTAACTTCCAACTATGTTTCATAGTTCATAGTTCCTGACCACCCTAAATAAAATAAAAGTTAGTTTGCTTTGTGACATGGACTAAGCTGTTTAGTATAGGTAATAGCACGGTTTCGAGTGCAATTTGGATATAACATGCACGAGTGAGTTTTTCAAAGACCTCAAAATAGCACGAGTCCGAAGGACGAGTAGTATTTGAGGTCTTTAAAAAACTCACGAGTGCATGTTTATCCAAATTTCACGAGAAACCATGCTATTACTTATTAATAATTTACATAAAAATGTTCGAGACAATTGTAGTTTTAACTTACGCGTTTATAGCGAATATTCCACTGGCAAAGTTTTCCTGGCTTTGTTTTATCACATTATACAACGCTAACAGCTTGAAAATTCCACTCAACTGTGTATTTTTTGTTAGTCTTGTTTAAGGTAAATGCTTTTCCATTTAAAAATAAAGATAAAAGCCATATTTTCCACGCGAAGGCAACTTTTACTTTATATTATACCTCAAATTCAAATTGTCCAATCAGGAAGCTTAGTTTGTGCCACGTGAGCATGAAATTAATCGCGATATCACGCCTTACGTCATCAATTAGCGAGTCTGCGTTCCTTTTGACAATGTTCCACCCCATGTTCCCCGGGGAACATGGGGTGTAACATTATTCGCGTACACCACGCGGGCCAACACGCATGACAACAAGATGGCCGACAAAACATAAATAGTATTAATGAGTGATGAATAATTCAATTTTAAACCTAAAACCCGGGGCTTTTTCAAACCTAAAACCTGGGGCTTTGTCATTAATATTCCAAACGATATGTGATTCGAAAGAAAAGCGACGACACTTGCGTTAATCCGAAAATAAAACATCGTATTCACGAAGGTATGTGTCAAGTTTTTAATTCTCAACTTGGAGGCTTTTAATTTTCGGTATAATATATCATTTATAGACCTTCCGCTCGGGGGATTCGGCGAATAATACCCTCAGTGATGATAATAAAAAATAAAATAAAAAAAAAATAAAATAAAACGCACAAATAGCATGAAAAGAGTTTTATGTTTAATGGGGCAAAAATATGGAACTCAGTGCCTAAAGAAATCAGAGGAATTAGGTCCCAGTCTCTATTTGAAAGAAAAATTGCTGCCCATGTTTCTAAATAATATATTTATACATACATATATATATATATATATATATATCCTTTATTGTAAATAGTTATCTATATGATTTTTTTTCTGTGTTGGTGTAGTGTACTCAGGTGAATATGATATTTGTGGTGTTACTCTGAGTGTATATCCACACCGGGCGAGCTTGAAAAATATGCCCGGCCACGGTGGGATTCGAACCTACGACCTTTGGAATACTAGCCCAATGCTCTTCCAGCTGAGCTACGCGGTCAGGACGGTTCGAGTAAGTGATATTTCGGAACAGTATCTAGTTCCTTCAATACCAATGTGTTCTAGTAATATGATTTTTTTTTTCTGTGTTGGTGTTGTGTACTCAGGTGAATAATATGTTTGCGATGTTACTCTGAGTGCATATCCACACCAGGCGAGCTTGAAAAATATGCCCGGCCACGGTGGGATTCGAACCTACGACCTTTGGAATACTAGCCCAATGCTCTTCCAACTGAGCTACGCGGTCAGGAAGAGCATTGGGCTAGTATTCCAAAGGTCGTAGGTTCGAATCCCACCGTGGCCGGGCATATTTTTCAAGCTCGCCCGGTGTGGATATACACTCAGAGTAACACCACAAATAAGTTATCTATATGTTTTGCTAGTTGTCTATATTGTCAATTTTGTCAATTGGAACAGTTAGATTATTTCTATTTTCTTTTATTTGATTCCATAAGAGTCATAACAACACTTATATATAATAACTTTTGAACACACGCCCTTCGTGGAAATCAATGTTTTTAATTGACGTAGTTAGCGTGTCAAAATAAAATCTATCTATCTATCTATCTATCTAATATTCGGGTAATATTTCGCCGAATCCCCCTCGCTCCAGGTCTATAAATGATAAGTGTAGCGCGGCGCCATGTTTGTTTTGTTTTGAAGCAATCTGTGACCGTTACTTATTTAAAACTAAACTGCTTTAAACTGGTTGGTTGATTTAATCATCACAATGTTTCCCCACCAATCAGATCAGTTTGTTACAGATTTTTGCACTGTGATTACAGAGAATTGCACTGTGATTACAAAAAAATTGCACTGTGATTACAGAAAATTGCACTGTGATTACAGAAAATTGCACTGCTGTTTGGGATTAACTGCACTGAAATCAACCAATCAGAGTCGAGTAATATCTTTATGTATATTATTATAGTATAAATATGACATATGAACTTATGATAAATTACAGTACCGTCCAACGGAAACTATACATTTTTTTCGAGCGAGTTTCGAGAATGTTCGAGCGAGAAGCGCGACGCGAAACCTTGCGAGGGGCGCTATCGCGACCTCTCGCTCGTTACGCGTAATGACTCGCTCGAATAATTTGTTTACTGCTTTCGCGTAATCGCGAAACGCGCTTCGCGAATCGCACTCGATAAATCGCTGATGAGCAAAAACTTCATGGCAGCGAAAAACATAAAGGCTAGTTATTCAACATACATGTCGGCGTATGGAAGTCTTACCTTGTTTTTTTCTAAACGATTGAGGCACAAGATATGGTTTTAAGACGCTGTTTTGCTTTTACGTTTTATAAGTAGATGTCTCGCAGCACTGTCGGTACATATGTAAATTATTCAAAGTTTCACCTTAGGCTTAGCGAAGCGTCGAAATTCGAAAATGGCATGAATCGCGGTAATTCTTTCAATATTTCAAAGCCAGATAATTTATAAACAAACCTTTTTAATAGAAAGTGTAACAGCTTGTCCAGTTGTCGATGCCCGCAGAGTTGAAACGCCATGTCAATGAAGCAGTAAAACACAGATACACGTGTTTTAATTTAAAGATTCAAACAGAATGAATGCTTTGCCTTGAGGAAGTGAAATTATTTTAATTACTCAATAACAAAACAGACAAAAGCCTGTATCAACCTTAATGATCCATTAATAATCGATTAATAACAATATGAACTAAAAATAAAGTATGACAACAAAAATAAAGTATGACAATACCAACAACATAAAACTAAAATATGACGCGTGCTTTTTTACACCCGATCAAAATACGCGCCTTGTCCGAAATGAAGACATGTTTTTTTTAGTATCAACAGAGAAGAAGCTACTACAATATTATTGTCACATACAGTAAAGCAAGTGTTACATTTTCTCCATTTGCATGCCAGTTATTTGACACGGTTTTAAAATGCAAATCGACCGGATGAAATATACGTTTGTGCATGTTTCTTTGTTTCTGATGGCAGGCTGTGGGAAACATGTGAAATGAGAGAAACTACGCCGTTATGGTATGCGTATATTTTAATTTGCTGTTTAATCAATGGGATGAGAAGACTGGTAGTAGTTTAAAAGAACGAAGTACAAGCATTATGTCTGACAGCAAGTAGCCTTCTTTGTCTCTGGCGCGTATTATACTATAGGTATGTCATTCTGTATATAAAATATTTCTGTTTTATTTCCGGCCCGTTGGCGATGATGAATTTATCGCAAATCTCGTCAGAGACAGAGTCCTCATCTTTGCGCTTTGTTGTTGTAAACGTTAATATATACAAACTCGCCAATTAAAAACTTAAAACAATAAAAGTAAAGGACGTAAAGTATGTAAAGGACGGCAAATGCTGTTTTAAATCGTTCACACGACATTTACTCTTACAGTATATAAACGGAACACGTGCATGGGTATATACAATTAATCTGAACTGTATGAATATGAAAAAAGAATGTGAAACTAGTTTTTCATATCTCTCAAGATGGTTCTGAAATAAATACAATTAAACGTGCCACAGTGGCATCGCAGTTCTTAATAACGCATTTATAAATCATGCACTTCGCGAATACTCGATACTCGAATCTCGTTTCTCAAAAATTTCTTCAATTCGCATCGCGACGACTCGAATCGCGTTTCGCGAAACTCGATAGATAACGCGATTCGAGAAGCGAGCCGCTCGACACGCGCTCGAATGTTTCTCGCTCGAACGCGAAACGCGCTCGATACTCGATGTATAGTTTCCGTTGGACGGTACTGTATGACCTACACACGTAAAAACGCACAAGTTGTTACAGGTCAGCGCACAAGTTGTTACAGGTCAGCAAACAAGTTGTTACAAATCTGTTCACAAGCTGTCGATCAGTTGTGTTCGCACTGCTTGTTCCCAGTTGTTGCAACAGAGTTTGGAACAAGCTGTTAACAACTTGTAACAAAACTGATGGCATTATCAGGCTTGTTACAATGCTGTTCTAACAAGTCTGATACAGTCATGATATAACAAGAATGTCACAAGGTCGACGACACAAGGTTGTAACAAAATTGTTATATCATGACTGCATCGGATTTGTTGGAACAACCTTGCAACAAGTCTGATAATATCAACAAGGTTGTTACAAGTTGTTGACAACTTGGGACAAGCAGTGCGAAAACACAACATCTAATATAATTATATCGAATAAACACACACACACATCAACATGTTGCTTGAAGCACTATGTGTTTATTGCTGCTTAAACGCTCGAGCTAAATGCTCTTACATAGTAAAGAATAAATATACTCTACTTATTCCAAGATCTGAACCTTTAAGATCTTGGTGTGAAGATGAAAAACCCAACCTGCATAAAACAGGGCGGAGTATTTAAAAGTTCTCTTGAATATTGTCACTCAATAACATTCGTGTTATCAATTCCTTTACAGATTATTAATACGATAATCTAAAACACACTCCTGGGAAAACCGTTCTTCACTACAATGTATAAATGTTCACGTTCGTATTTTACGCATTCGCCTAAATAGACAAGTTTTTAGACACCTCGAATTGCATGCTTGCCGATGGTTTAATGTACTTATTCTTCGATTGTACAGACTTCCATCCTCCATGACTCTGCATTGACAGGTCGGACAAATCGTGGCAACCTGGATCGGATGCACCACCACTCCTTAAGCTGTGAGTTCCCAACTTTCTCAAATCCTCGTAAAATACGCCCAAACTCTCTTTGATGATATCTCAAATAGGAGACGTAGATCGGCCGGAGATGCGCGATTACGCCCGTGTTTCTGAATTAACGTTTCTAACATGTAAGGTTGGACAGTATCTTTAGGTTCTCTTGGTCGAGAGAGAATTCGTCGGCAGCCTTCGTAGGTAGATTGAACCAACGGGTGCTCTGTCGGGGAGGGTAAGCGGCCAAAATATGCCCCCAACGAATGCTATACACAGCAGTATCCACAGGTGAAGTTGTCTTGGCGGAATCGAGGAATTGACGCAATATAACGCCACGAACATAGGCTGAGCAGGAAGGTACCAAACACCAATCTTAGACTTGGACCAGATCTTCCATCTGTTCCATCCGTAAGCATAGCGGACTGTCGTATTTCGAGCCTTTGCATTCAACACAATTGCAACCCGAGAAAGCGAGGAAGCCAACGATACAAGCGAAGGATCCTGTATTTTGAAGAAATCCTCCCACACTCCAATTTTAAACTCATCTAAATAGAAATAAGTAAATCATAATAGAATATAAACTTCGAAGACTACATTCGTCACACGACGATATGACAGCACTAAAAGACTGCATGAATTAAATAAAAATTAATTTTTTACGAAAATGTATCTAGCCGTTAAAAGGCAAATGTAAAATTTAATTTTTACATGAACAGGTCGAATGACCGATGAGATGACTTTGTAACCAAAATTTGGTGTCCAAAACCCCTGAAAAAAATGCAAACTTGAAGTGTTTGAAAATCAACACATTATTTGCATTATCAGCAAATAAACCAAATACTGTAGCAAAGTGCTATTAAACAAAACAATCACACCAGAAATGGAGCGAATCAGTCGAAAAGACATGAGGATAAAAAATAAATAAAATGCTTTGAAACGCCACAATTTGTCAAAAAGACACGGTGCTAAAGACCAAGCCTAATCATTATGCTTTAAAACTCTACCCGTAAAGCTAGTAAGTCAAAACTTGGTGTTCCCGTAAAAACGGACGGTTACTTTTGATAGGCTATCAATTGCCCTTCACCAGGAATGCACATCTGTGCTATTTTTTTTTTTTTTTTTTGGTAAAACTAAACTGTCCTTAACAAATGGAGCAAACTTTCCAGATTTGATTTTAATGGCTGGCCAAAAAAATAGCGGACGGCCAACGAGGAACTATAAGGGTACCTTTGGCCTTACAAACGGACATGTGTCTAATGACGGGAATGATTAAATCCACTGGCGAACAGACCCAGTTCGTTTCGTTTGACCAATTTTGAGTAAATGCGTCAACAGCCTCTGTTTCAGGACACCAAAATCGTGAATTGAATCTTGGTAATTGTGTATTGTAACTAGCGGCGAACCTATCAATAGTAAAAG